AAAAAATATATGAAGATTACATTTAAAAATTTACAAAAAAAAAAACTTCTCAGCTAATAAAATTGAACTGGAAATCATTAGTGCACATAAACCGTTGCACTATTCTATTTGTCTTCTACATATTGAAAGTCACACATACACGGACAGTATAGTGTTATTGCAAATACTGTTTAACATTCCAATTATTATCTTGTCAAGCACCTCCGCTCTTCGCTATGAGCCTATGAGGCATTGCAAGCACTCTTTTGCCACTTGGGACAATGAATTGTATGAACACGCGCCCTTACTCAACGCCTTTTCTCCACTGTATTTTAATTCCACAGCTCTCTTCCTCATTGCACGCCCCTCCTCTTCCACCATGATCTTTCTCACCATCTTCTCTACCTCCTCCCTTCCAACCACACCATCCCCCACGGGCGATTGCTTCGGCCGAATAGCCACCCCGATCTCCTCCGCTAGCAGAGCAGCATTCATCTTTTGCTCTGCGTAAAGCGGCCACGCAACCATTGGCACACCGTTCATTATGCTCTCCAAGGTCGAATTCCATCCACAGTGTGACAAAAATCCACCCACAGAAGGATGGCTCAAGATGTCCACTTGTGGAGCCCACATGGGGACCACAAATCCCACGTCACGGGTCCGGTTTAGGAACCCATCAGGCAAGTAATCCGAGTCAACATCAATACTCTGTACGATTGTGAAATATGATCCGGATGCATCATGGTCCGAGGGAGGGCGAACCACCCAAATAAATCTCTGTCGGCTCAATTCCAAACCCCAAGCCAACTCAATCATCTGTTTGGCCGACAGAGTCCCTCCACTCCCAAACGAAACATAAATAACCGACTTAGCCGGCTGCTTGTCTAGCCAATCCATCACCGGATGATCTGAACCGCCCTGTCCTACCCATCTAACCAGTGGACCGATCGGATAAACCGCTTCAACGATCTGCCCTAGGAGCTTGGTATCTCTAAATGATTGAATTGTTGAGGTTTCAAGATCTTCCCACGTGTTGACCAAGATCCCATCTGCCTTTGAAATCACACCTCCAAGTGCTATAAACCCTTGAAGAAGGGGATCATTCGGGTCTTGCAATGCGTCTAGCGTATCCTCGAACCGAATTATGGACTTGCAACCAGGAATTTTCAAGGGTTTGTGTTTCTTGACATGTTCCTCTGTCACCTCTTTCGCAGCGGCTGATGAATACACGGAAAGAGCGAGAAGCCACGCATTGGAGGTGATAAAAACGTACCGAAGCACCCCGAATTCGTCAGCTATGGTGAAAGCCTCGGTTCCAAATATGTCCACAATCAGCATTGTTGGACGAATCTTCATGGTTAGGATTTCAGAGCGAAGGAGAGGTAAAGACTGGCGCATGATGAAGATCATCTTGACGGTGAGTGATGCATCAGGACCGACTATGGCAGAGATATCAACAGGAGGGAGCAAGACAACATCAAGATTTTCAGGGTAATTATTTGGTGATTTGAGAAGTGAAGTTGAGGCATGACCTTCGGCAACGATGAAGACGGTGACGTGAAATCCATGATGAGTAGCCATGCGTTTGCCAAGCTCAAGGGCAGGGATGAGATGTCCCATGCCAGGGCTAACGAGGAGGGCAGCATGAGGTTGACTGTTTTGCATAGCTAAAACTAGGAGAAGGTTACAAAATTCAAGGCTTAATGTCTGGAAGGCTGGGTAAGGCTCGGATTTATAGGCAAAAATTGCATAGATAATACAGTACTGTTGTAAAGTAATAAATGCATTGAGCTCGTTCTTCGATAATTTGTTTAAAAAAATATATAAATAAATAAATGCATTCTTATGATGTTACTTGTAATACAAATTAAATAAACTTTATTTATATGATGATTTATA